CCAGAGCGCCGCCCGCCCCCGTCTCTCCGTCTCCTCCGCCCCCGTCCCTCCCTGCCGTGGCTCCGGCTGCTCCCGCTCCCCTCGTCCAGCCCTGGGAGCCCCGGCACCGGGCACAGCCCCAGCCTGGGCTGCAGGAGGCAGCTTTGTCCTTTGAAGAGCTGCTTCCCTGCCAGAAAAGCCAAGGCAAGCAGCCTCCTCCCAGCACCTTTCCCTGAGCCCCATCAGCAGGGCACCACGGGGCTGCAGCGGGGAAGGAGCTGGGAGCAGGCAGGAGAAGGAGCCGGTCGGTGCAGGGCTCAGCCAAGAGCTGGGCTGAACACAGAGCTCCAGCTGCACCATCTCTAACCTCAACGGCTGCAGGAGCTGGGACACAAACATGCAGAAGGCCACAGTCTGCGAGACAGGAGGCTCTGGGCTGGAAACACAAGGGCCCTGTGAGAGCCCTGCTCCCACCGCAGCTGCGCCAGGCAGCCCGTGCTGTGGGAGAATTTTGTCTCCGTTTCTGCTACAAAAGCATTTTGAGGACGTGACATCCCTGTGAATAACTGAAGCCCAACTAATCAGCAAACCAGCAGCAGCCCAGGGAGACATGAGTCCCACCTCCCCCAGAGCCCCAGGAAGATGAGGGGAGAGCCCAGGCACCCTGCAGCCTTCAGGCAAAGATGCCGAGAAGGACACAGTTCCCATCAAGGATTTCAAAAAACCATTTTATTTACAGTATCGTACACACCCACACCCCTGTTAGTGGTTTTCCCTGCCCGAGACCCACTGAGCAGAACTGAGACCAATCCCTGAAAATGAGAGTCAGGAGCGACAGAGGCTGCGCTACGGGAGAGCAGTGACAGTGCCCAGTGCTGGAGCAGGGCATGGAGAGCAGCACCCAGCCTGCAGCCGAGGGCACCAGGCTCCTGCTGCAGCCACAGCCGGCTGCCTGCCCCTCCACGAGGTCTGAGCCCCGCTGGTGGAGAGGGATGGCACCCTCTGGAGCAACGGCGGCAGGCACATCGTGCCAGGGTGGGGACTGAGGGGAGCCAGCCCCGTCTGCCATCATCCCTTTGACCCCACACCAGAGAGACGCAGCCCTCCCCAGGCCACGACGGCCTCTCCCCAGAACAAGCAGTGCAGACGCCCCATCTCCCACCAGCCCCACCTTGATGGGGCCCAGTTTGCCCCAGCATCCCAGTGTTGGGATGGTATCTTCTGCTGGGCTGGCAGCTGTACCCGCTTTCCCCAGGAGACGCAGGACAGAGCAGCCTCGCAGGCCAGTGCCTACCGCAGCCTCCACGGCAGCTGGCAGTCCAGAGGTAGCCCAGGGCCCTGCTGGCTGTCAGGGCTCAGCTGAAGAAGTAGGTGGAATCCATCACCTTCTTCAGGTTGAACTCGCCTGGGGGAAGCAAGGGAGAGGAGAGGTCAGAGGAGATGGGGCAGCTGGGAGAGAAGCTGCTCCAAGCCCCGTTTCGGCTTCCTGCAGAAAACCGCTTCAGCTCAGCCCTGCTGCCGGGTAAGTCAAGACAGCGGGGATCTCGGAGGTCTTGTGTGGCTCCGAGTTTATCTAGGACAGCGGTGGGAAGAACAAGACAGAAGAGTGTAACAGCAGCAAGGCAGGGAAGGAAGAGGAGCGCGCAGGCTCACAGCGCAAACCATCCCTGCCGCTGGACTGCGCTGCCTCTGGGGCTGACCACGGCGGCTGCGCAACAGCCCCGGCGCGCTGGCCTGTTCTGTTCCGCAGAACGGAGGGTAGCCAGATGGTCTGGCAGAGGCAGGGCCGAGAGATCAGGAGGAGTTAAACTAATTGCCTTAATCCCATTGCATGTGTATCATCTAGATCCCGGCAATTACCATGCTGAGTGCCTCAATCCCATCTCCAGGCAAATGCCTCGTGGTTGGAAACAGATGGGAGAGGAACAACGAGACAGGGGATGGGATGAGCTGGGTCAGCCTGGGGAAAATCCCAGGGGCTCAGCTCCGGGGAAGGCAGGGACCGATCACAGGGGAACACCTTAAGGCACAGCCTCACAGCACTGCAGTCCAGCACAGGCAGGAAAACCTGATCTTAGGGGACAGCTTTAGCAGGGCTGGCCAGACCCTCACTGTGCCCCAACTTCGGATACCAACGTGAGCTCAAAGATTTGGGGGGGCCGCTCCCCATCTCACGCCCCTTGTCTCCAAACGGCTCCCCAACTTTGCAGCTCCTGTTCCGTGCTCCTACCTGTCTTGGGGACATTCGACAGCTGCTCCATCAGTTTCTTCTGCCAGAGGGCTCTGGTCTCTCTGCCAGGGCTGGATCAACCAGAAAGAAAGCAAGTAAGCGTGGGAGCGCTGGGAGAAGGTGTGCCCTCCGCTGCTCCCCAAGGCAGGCCCCTGACCACAGGATTCAGCTCTCCCAAAAGGCGTTACACACCCTGCAGCAGGAGCGGGAGCCCAGCCCCTGCCATGGCAGCCCTAGGTGGGTGCGGAGGTGTCTGCAGACCCTGCCCAGGATCGGGTCGGCCTGTGCTGTCTGGCTCTGCGGTGCTAACGGAGGGCCGCACGCTGGGCCAACCCAACGTGTGTCCTCACTGCTCCTTACTGCCTCATTCACAGTGGGGGACCCAAGGCACAGACGTTGTGGTCCACGTTGGGCCTGCTGGGGGATTCAAGCCCCAAACCCTACTTCAGTTCTGCAGCGAAAAGATGCAGACACCTTGTTTTTCACACCAAGGCCTAAGGCAATTTGGGCATCAGTCAAGAAGGAAGCACAACTTCCCTCCAGAGCAACCCCCAGGCAGATGACAGAACCCGTGAGCATTTGGGCACAATGGCCCCCAGGACAGGGAATCAGCGTGGGTAAGAAGGAGAGCGGTGGGGGTTCACCAACAGGCAATACCTGCAGTACTTCTCCAGCATGAACTCGGACAGATCCTGCAGGATCTTCTCGCTGTGCAGAGCCACAAATTGCTGCCGACAGATCTGATCCAGGGAGCAATGGTGAGTCGCAGGTTAACAGGCATTTTCCCCTCCTTCCCCTCAGCGCTTCTCAGCCCAGACAGGTCAGAGGCGAGGGGCAGGGAAGGCAGCGGGCAGAGGGGGAAGGGGGGGCTGCCGGACATGGGTGAAGGGAATCAGCCTGGGGAGGTGGGAAGCAGAGGCCAACCCCCATTTATCGATCTACTGTACAACAGCCCTCGCAGCACTGCAGGGGAACAGGCCCAGGACAGGACAGAGGCACAGACTCTGCCAGGCACTGTGTTTAACGATGATTTACAGGCCCAGACTCTCCCTCACACCCTCCTTGAAGGGCGGGTGGAGATGGGGCTATGGCACCAGGAAATCAGCTGCAGCCACCAGCAAGCACCCCAGGTTCACCTCGCCTGGGTAAATAAATCAGCCTATGGAGCAAAGCCCAGGGGAAGCAAGGGCTGGCAAGTGCCCAGGGGACAGATCAGCAAGATCCTTGCTCACAAGGGACCCGGGAGGACACTTTTACCTGGTTCATGACGTCCACGGTGAGCGCGTGAGTCCAGTAGCAATCATGGACTGAGACGAAGGTCAGACCCTGCCTGTGAGGCAGCAGAAGGTGCCATGAAGTAGTGCTGAGAGCCCCCTCTCCGCGATGGCCCCTACCCCATGTAGACCCCCTTGCTGGGACATAAGCAGGGGCCACGCGAGGAGGGGGACTCCCTGCACAGGGCCTGCAGATCTTCAGAGAACAACGGCTGACCCCACAGCCAACCTGTCCCTGCCCTGCTGCCTCCTCTCAACCCTTCTCTGCCGGAGACCCCAGACACCCACCACCAGGGAAAGTTCTTTTCCTGCATCGTGGGCCTTGCCCTGGTGACACTCTCCCAGCAGAGACCGAGTCCCAGCACCAGCGAAGAGTCCTGGCTGCCTGTTCCCTACCTGAGGCAGTGCAGAGCCGTGAGCATCATGTGTGTGGAGTCCAGGGAGTGGATGAAGTTGGGTGGGAAGGCGTTCTTCTGCTTCACTGTATCAGGCTTCCTGCAGCACAGAGTGGGAGACAGGAGGAGCTGGGGCACTTCCAGGGCACAGAGCCAGCAGAGACCTGGGCTTGATGAGGGCAGCCCTGGAGGGCCCCCAGGCCCTGCTGAAGCACAGGGCCCCGCTCCTCCAGCTGGCTTTCTGCAGCTCAGGGGGGACAGCAGGAGCTTTGGCACTCATTGGCGGCTTCCACTGACGGGAAGGTTTTGTCCCCAGAGCACAGGCTGGGGACAGCAGGGGCTCAGTAAAGACTGTGCTGCCATACTTACTGGTTGCTGTTGGAGGTTTTCACACTCAAGTTCTGCATGCCGCAATTCAGCTGCCAGGAGAGAGAAAGGGGATCAGCTGTCACACTGCACTGCCCGGCCAGCACAAGGCGCTCAGCACCACCCCGTACTCCCGGAGAGGGGACTGTGCCGACCGCGAGCTGTCCTGCCCTGCAGGAAACATCCCTGGCTGCAACAAAGGGCCTGGGCAGGGACCTTTCCAGGGCATCCCAGTCACCATGGCTGCTGTCACTCCTCAGTGACACCCTGCCTGCTTCCCCTCCTGAGGATGCATCCTTCACCCCTTCCCAGCGACACTGATTCACCCCTGCGAGGGCTAAGCGAAGGGCTCCTGGAGGTGAGCGGCTGCGAGGACGAGACAGGCTGGGGAGATGTGAGTCAGTGCAGCAGCGCGTGGGAAGCAAGAGCAGCGAGACTGAATCACGCGAGCCCCGAGGAAGGCTCCTTGGTGCGGGGAATGAGCCCGTGCCCCAGCTGCCTGAGTGGGACGGGAGCAGCAGAGCTTCCTCACCAGCCCACCCACACGCTCCAGGCTCTGCAGGGAGCGACAAGGCTGGAGGATGTGCCTGCACACACAAATCCTACCCCCTCTGCAGGCTCACCCATAGGTAATGCCAACCTGTCGGGCTTTAGGTTGCTGCCTTGAAGCCTGGCTGCCCTTTCCCTGCTCCCCACCACGGCAGAGGGAGGTGTAGATGAGTTCCACACACCAAATACTCACCACAGTGGACCTGGACCGATAGTAGGGCTGCACGATGGGGAGACCCAGCGGCGTGACCCACTCCACTGTCTGTCCTGACTGGGCAATGAGCTTGGCGCTCTCTGTCAGCCAGTTCTTTAGCAGAGGGAAATGGGGAAGAAAGAGGCTGGAGTCAGTACGGGCAGCTGGGAGACCCCATCTCCCCCCAGCACAAGCCAGCCTGACTCCTGCCACCGACTGTGACAGTCCAGCGGTTAATGGGGAGTTTGGCCCTGCAGCAGGCACAATCCCACACCTCTGGGCTGGGACAGGAGGATTCTGTCATTGCCAGGACCCAGAAGAACCATCTCTCCCCATGGAGCATCCCCTGGTCTATGTACGGGTGGGCCAGGGAAGAAGAAAAGGCAGAGAGAGATAAGAAGAAACAGGCACCTTACCTGGATATCTCGAGTTGCTGAGAACATCTCCTTGATGCCATTGAACACTTGCTTCACGAGGTAGTGAGATGCTTCCCACAAGTATTCCTGCACAGACCAAAGGCAGAGTGAGGGGACAGGCAAAGGGGCAGCAAAAATGCGAGGCAAAGCGATGGGACCTAGGGTAAGCTGAAAGAGCATCTCCCTGCTCTCAGGTGCCTCAAAATTGCCTCCATCAAACTGCTGCGTCCTGACATGTTGCAGATGGCTGTGGGTTGTGGTAGAGGGAAGCTGAGATCAGCATTTCAGACGGCTCCTTGTCAGGGGACGGGCTGATCTCTGTGCTGATCTCCTGGACCAACAGGAGGGCCTTGCTGCCTCATCTGCCCCAGGAATGTAACACAGGGCACAAACACTCCCAGCACCAACCTGCCACGGTACAGCACCCACCCAGCAAGGGCTGTCTCACGGTGGGATCAACAGAACAAGAAACAGGCACCAGGAGGAACAAGCCTCCAAGAACTCTGCTAGAGACAAGGGCCACTTCCAGAGGGAAGAGCACAGCCACAAACCCCGTTTTACATCTGAAACAGCAGCTGAGGCTGACATGCCCCCAAGCTGGGCCCAGGAAGGATGAGGAGCAGCCCTGTCTGAAGAGTCCCTCCCCACCCACAAGTTCTGGGCAGACGGCTCTCCTGCAGGCATGGGGGGACTCAGTCAGTCCTGCACATCCCTCTGCTAGCTAAGATTTGGGGGGGTAAGGAGAGAGCAGGGCAGGAGGGAAACCCCAAGGCAGTGCAGGTACCTCTCCCAGCAGGGAGTGAGAGCTGAGCAAAACACTGCTGGGGGAGGCCAGGGCAGGCATGCTACCTCAGGGAACTCGTCAATCTCCTTGAGACGTTTCTCCATCTGCAGCCGCCCGCCGTA